GCCAGAGATGCGCCTCCCTACATTCGACGGGAACGTTGAGAACTGGACATCATACTTTGACAGTTTCTCATCTATAATTGACCAAAACGCCGACCTTATGCCCGTGCAAAAGTTGCAATATTTGAGGTCAACTCTAACAGGAAGAGCCGCCGCGGCTATCGAATGTCTAAGCACGACGGACGCGAACTACGCAGACGCGATCGAACTTTTGAAGAAGAAATTCGACTGCAAGCGCCAAATTCTTTTAAAACATTGCAACGCCCTTCTCGCGATGCCGAAATTGTCGCGAGATACACCGGAAGCGCTAGGGGAACTGGTAGACATAATCCGCCAAAATCTGCGTTCATTGAAAAATCTAAACACCGACCTATCTTCGTGGGATTCCATTATCAATGCGATCATCTTATTGAAGATAAACACCGATTCCGCATGGCAGTGGGAAATCTCGTTAAAGGACAAAGAAATGCCCCCGCACCAACACCTGCTCGATTTCCTCGAAAAACGCGCGAGTTGTTTTTCATCGACGCAACCCAAACCTTCGTCGTCGAGACAGATAGGTCAACCTACAATTGCGAAAACTACAAACCATCGATACGCAACACGGGCCCACGCTTTCGCAACCGCTGCGAACGCCAGTAATTCCCAGCATCCCGCGACTCCAGCGGCTTACGCGACTTCCGCGACTTCCGCGACTTCCGCGACTTCCGCGACTTCCGCGACTGCACCAAAATGCGCGATATGCCAAGGGATCCACGGAATTTGGCGCTGCGAGAAGTTCCACTCATTGTCGGTGAACGCACGCATAGCGGCCGCCAAGAGAGCTTCGCTATGCCAAAATTGCTTGAGGAGCGACCATAAACCCGAGATATGCAGAAAGGGTTCATGCCGCATATGTAAACAGCAGCAGCATACGCTGATTCATCGACCAAGGCCATCATCGGATCACGAAGCTGATATCCCAACGAAGAGGCGCGGAACATCGCCAACCGCTCACGAAGAAGAGAGCGAATGACGACAGCCTCGCGAGAGCCGGAAGGAGCGAAGCCGCTTCAAGGCATTCACCGTTGACACCGTGAACAATAAGTTGCTCGTCACCGCACAAGTTGACGTAATGGATGAGACGCAACGTCCAGTCAACTCCAGGGCTCTCATTGACACAGGTGCAACGACCAATTTCATCACGGAAGACCTTGTCGAAAGGCTAAACATCCCAAAAAGGAAATGCTCCATCCCCATAGGGGCTCTCAACGCGATGACC